AAACTAGAAGTCTAGCCTCCAGGAACACCCTGGATGGAAAGCCCTTCCTGATCACTAGAGGAAGGCCAAAGCTTGCCAATAAGAATAACAATGCACTGAGAAGCTGGACCTGTCTGAAAATGAGCTACAGGAACAGTGTTTACAACTTCCTGAACTCTGACAACTGTCTGGGAAACTTCTTAGAGGAGTATCAGAGCATCCCAAAATAATCTACACTTGAAAAAGAAAAGGCCTCTTGTAAATATGTTATGCATAAAGATGCCATAAATGAGCCTATGTCCTAAGCTCCATCATATGAAAACTGGAACCCAGGAAGATGGCATTGTCTCATGCTTCCTTTTACATGTGAGTGTGTGCACGCACGCATGCACGCATCCCTTTTCCTCTCTCCTTACATAATGTCAACATGATTCTAGTTTCTATTTTGACTCCTAGAGAACACAAAGTAAACACCCTGGTCCTGTAGAAAATATTAAAAATATCTAGCCCTTACTTCCCAGAATACCTATTAACACTTACACAAAACCATCCAAAAAAGGGGTGTGCAGAGCCACTTGAGGACGGGTGAGAAGACAGTGGCCTCCATCAAAACACTGCACATTGGTACAGAACCCATGTCCTCTAAAGCTTAGGTACTCATGGATAAGGCAAAGAAGCACAGGATTGATACCTAAAGGAACTCTACAAGCATTAAATGGGGAAGAGATTCAGCCAATTCCCAGGGATACTAGAATAGATACATAGACAGGAGCTCTCACTCAGTCCTTGTCCAAGGAGCTGGCCTCTTTGAGGGCAGGAAAAGGTGGAAGAGGCAGTAAGGTGTAACCTGCCTGACATGCACTAAACCAATCTCCCAGCAAAGTCACTTCTATTCAGCCAAGATCAGGACGGTCTACGTTGCAATACTGTGGATAGGTCATTGATAAGGTCTGGAGGGGTTCGAACGAACACCACATTGATGGGTGGGGAGAGAGGAATTTTTTTTTAGTAGAAACATTTTATCCCTATAAGCTAGTAATTTCTTTTCTCTTTCGTGTGTCCATTTTTCCTAAACTCTCTCCAATCAGGCTGTATCTAACCCAGTCATCAAGATGGACTCATGATGCCAAATGCAATAGTTAACTGTCTTTTGTCATTTTATGGGACTTACCAGCAGGCACTGGATGCAGACGATGCTCCTTGCTTGACTGAAACACTCATGTTGACCATAGTCTCCTATCAGTCAGAAGCTCTCCTTATCTTCATCTCCCTGACCTCGAAGTATCCCAGAGCTCTGTTCTTGGACTTCCTTACTCTTGACAATTATTTTTGGCTTCCTGTATTTTCTCATCACTATTACAAAGTACCTGAGAGAAACAACCAGAGGGAAGGCAGCTTTATTTGACTCAGTTTTAGAGACTTCAGCTCTTTATGGCAGAGAAGGGGTGGTGGCAGATCCTTACAAGCATAGGCCTCTTGCTTCTTGGCTGGCCAGAACACAATAAAGCAACACTGGAACAAGAGGCAAACAAAGTTCAAAGACCATCCCTAGTGAATGACTCACATCACCAAAGCCCCACATCCGAAAGCTCCACAAGCATTTGAACACATAAGACTGCTGGGAACACTCCAGATTCAAACCCTGAACACTCACATCTGACCTTTATGCCAATGACACTAGTATTTTCTACCCATCCTGGACCTCTTCCCTTAATCTGTACTTCCTATTGCCTCCTCAGCAGCTAGGTGTTTACCTCTTGACTTTCCCCTCCCAACATGATCCATCAATGGCTTCCTCCTCAACTAAGAGGCAGCTCCATCCTCCTAGGGCTCAGGCCAAAGATCTTGCAATCATCCCTGAGTGTTCTTTCTCTTCCCACATCCGTAGTAAGCAAAACAGATATGAATACTCGTCATGGGAGATTTACATTTCATTGTGACAAAGGAGGAGAAAATAAAAACGAAATCATTTATCAGAGAGTAACAGGAAAACAGGGTCAGAGGATTCAGCCTATGACAGAAAGAGCAACACCATTTCCTCCAAGTCTGGCGAGAAGAAATGCTTGCAGACGCGGTTCTTAATACTGCTTCCAAATTCAACTGGTGTGAGAAAAAAGTGAGGCTGCTCCGTCAGACAGGCAAGAGGGAGTCAGAATACAGTGATCTCAAAGCATTCAAGTAAATACACCCGTGAGCCCCAGAATCACAGAGATTCTGCTCAAAGGGATAGGACACCCTCTTCTGCCGCCACAAACATGCAAAGGTGTGCATGCTCCCACAAACATGAGCTTACACTCAGACACATACAAATAAAAACAAAACACTAGGATTTTACACAAAGTACAAACGTTCAGTTTCCTCTTCTCAAATCCTATACTTTTAGGAATGTCACTATGATGACACCATTAAACAAGAGAAAAAGATGATATTAAAATTCAAACACTGGGCTGGAAATGGCCCAGTGGCTAAGAGCATTTGCTGCCCTTACACAGGACCCAGATTCAGTTCCCAGCACCCACACAGCAGCTCCCACCATCTGTGGGATGATCACACTATTCTGACTTCCAGAGGAACTGCCCAAATGTGGCATGCTTATATACATGCTAGCAAAATACGAACATAAAAATAAATCTTTTATAAATATTTTTAAAAAAATAACACATGACTTGATTTTCATGGGGTGTATCACACAAAGACAGCTGAAAAGAGTGTATTAATATCCAAGCTGATTACAAGATTAGGTGTCTCCCATTAACAATTATTTAGCACGACAGTCAGTCTCAAAGACATACAATACCCATGTCTAAGAGAATGTATGCAGAAGCAAGAAAGTGTACAAAGCTCAAAAGGAAACAACAGACATGAAGTCAGTCTGGATGTAGAGAAACTAAATTCTCAAATCCCCAAAGCAGGAGTGTACACTGGTATAAGCTCCATGGAACTCCTTGAAAGGTCTCCTAGAACTGAATGTATAAGTACCTTACATTTACATTGGTATAGTCTCTATAGAAATTTATATACACCAAGAAGTGTATAGAGTTCATGCAAAGTATAACAACTCCCACAAATCACAACTATGTAAAAAAGTGACTACTAGAAACCCAAACTTATACTGAACAAGTCAAACATAGAATGTCAAGCAAAGGACATGATCTCCCAGTTGGGTAAACACACAAACACAAACCAAGTATATCTAACTTACCTGAGACTCACTCAACAAAGTATTCAACACTCATAATTCTGCTAAATTTCATACCAACCATAAGAGCCAAGTATTACCTGTGTATTAAAGAGGAGTAAATTCCATTCACTCTAAACTCACCCAACAAGTTGTGTCCTTCCTTAAATCAGCTGATGATTCCTCTATCAGTAGTTTTCACAATATATTAGTAAGCTATCACCTGACAGGGCCACAACCAGCATATGTTAGAGATGGCTCAGTTGGAAAAGCACTTGATGCCCAACCATGAGGAGTCTGAATTCCTAAAATCCACATAGAAGCTGGATACACAGGAATGTCAGTAATTACAGCGCTCCTTCAAGAGGATGAGAGGTGGAGAAGAACCCCCCTGAACCTTGTGTGCCAACTAGCCTGGAGCATGCAGAGACAAAACAAGAGATCCTACTGTCTCAAACAAGGTGGAAGGTAAGGACTGACGGAGGTTGTCTCCTGAGATCTTCATATGTTGTGACATGTACGAGAGTACACACATATCACCAACCACCACACCCACCTGCCGCCACCACCAACCACCAAACAGTAACAACAACAAAACACCAAAAAATTGATAAACAAAAAATAGGAACACATACTGCCTCAGACATGGTCAGGCAGTGCTTTTCCAGTCCTATGTATGGATGTACATGTGATACTGGATCTCGAAGCATTCATTGTTTGTTCTGAGTGTCAGAAACACTCCAGTCTACAACTTCAACTCCTTCACAGGACAAAAAGTTTCAGCCAAGCCCAAGCTGCAACACCCGTAGGTCATAACGTCTTCTAAGTGTTCAAAGAAGAGCACGCAATGTGCAAAGGCAATTTGGTTTTGGCAGATTGTAAAACTGCAGCTGCAGGCCTGTGGGAGTGACTTAGCTGCCATGCAGGGAGCTTAGTGAATGAAGCTGAGCTCACTAAATAACACCCAAAAAGAAAATGGAAAGTCCGGAGCCGCTGCTCTCCTTTGTGTGAAGGCATGCTCTAAGCCTGGCCACTGAAGGGGGAACAAAGGCGGATGCCAGTTATTTCAAAGCAGGGATTAGGGACAGGGAAGATGCTAAACAAAGAGAAGTGACCTAGTTAAAATATAGTCAGAATTGGCAGGGCACAGATTAGTTCAAGCACGCTGTGTAAAGTATCCCAGTTTAAAAAGTGGAAAATACACAAATAGTCAATGTTTTAGTAGTAAACTATTTTGGCCAATATATAAACCGTTTTTGTAATGAGCACACTCCAAAACCTTGGCTGGGGTTAGCTCACACACAGCTGTTGCTGTTAACCAGCCACAGAGCAGTCCCTAGTTATTCCATGCCACCGGAACTTGGTTTTAAAATTTCAAGACTTTGGGTTATTGTTAACCATTAAAGTTCCAGTGGTTAAAATTCAGTCAGTGCAACTGCAGAGTCTGTGATGAAAACCAGTTACCATAGCTGTTTCCAAAGAGACCCTCTGGAGACTTGTGCTGGCCTCAGCTCTCTGGACAGCTGGAAACTCTTCCATCAATGCACCGTGAGAAAGTACTTTTCGGCTCAGGACTCCCAATATGATGCCATACCATAAATTTCTAGAGGATAAAGTTATGCTTTCAGGGACTTCGTGGGAGAAGACTGCAGCAGGGAGGAGATACAATCCACTAAGTTATCCACTCAAGAGGTCCAGACAAAAGAAACTTAAAGCTCAACTCAAGATTCCCTTTCATTCAAGCCTCCCTTCTGTGGTGGGAAACATTAGTGGGGCTGCAGGGTGGGAAAGGAACTAGATACAAACGCTCAAATCCAAGTCCCACAAAGACTGAAAATAAGCATCTTTCCAAGGCTGTTTATTTCCAGAATTCCTTTTCCCCAGCAATAACAAAGGTTTACATTCTGAAATGATTTAGTGGTGTCAAACCCCAGAATGGTTCAAGAACTGAGCTAGTTTAAAAAGCACCAGAAGGAAGGACTTCAGACTGCCAAGTCCTACCACTATCGGCCCTACTTGCCAGTCCTGAGGGCCCACAACAGATCCCGGTTCTGTTAGTGACCACTGCCCACCTCGCTCTACTCTCCCAGGACCTCACCCTCCCTCCGACAATATCTAGACAAGACCCCTGCTTTATTTCCTTTATTCCCCACCACCAAGCCCTGAAAGACCATTTCTGCAGGCTGCCTGCTCCAGGCTGTTATAATGATGAAAATCCTTCCAGTTGACAGTGACACTCCTAGGAAAAGAGAGTCTCCAATTACAAGTTCTCGCCTTACACTATGTGAGAGCAGAAAGTACTCAATAGAAACTGTACTCTGGAACATTAACTTGGGGGTGGGGTGGGGATCTCTTCCCTGGCTAGCTACACACATATAATCCTCTCTCATGCTGGATAGTGGTCCTTTCATACAAGCCCTCAAACTTGATCTTCAGAGAAAATGACTGACACTAATCTATAGCAACATACAACATTCAAGACAGTACATGAACTTTAGTACAAAAATAGACTCTGTCTTGGATGACTTTACCAAGCCACAAGCTAATGTAAGTGTCCCGAGCACATTTAAGTCTAGGACAAGCTGATTAAGTTAGGGGCATTAAATGCATTTTCAATGTACTTTGTGTTCACCTATATGATCAGGACTAATCCTACATTAAGTCAAGGAGTACCTGCATTTATTTCTGAAGGGAAAAAAAAGATGTTTTTATTAAATCTGAATACAGAAAATCCCAGTTCTTCTGGATGGGAGGATGGGGAGGCAGGAAAGGCTTCATTAGAATTGTGACTGTTTAAAAGGAAAAGTATATCTTTATTGTTTTAAAAAAATTGAAACAAAAATATATAGTATATGCAAAAGTATAATTTCCATGACTTGAATGAAAGATCCTCTCTCTACATATCCCAGGAGTTTCTATATAGCTTTTTAATTTAAGATATGAAAAACCTTCCTGAGAGAGCCACATATTTGAACATGCTTCCACCCAAACTCAGAATGGCTAAAGTCACAGTCCTATAAAATATATAACCCCCTCAAAAGCAAACAAACAAAACAACAACAACCCAGACTGATCACTTTCAGAAAGTACTGAAGTCACATGACACAGTGTCTTCTTCACGTGGAATATCAACAACAGAAAGGAACAACACAAAATCACTTACCATGCTGTGACCTGACAGTGGATGACGAATAGTGATTTGGGCATTACCCAGCAATATTCACAAAGAAGACCTTTATAACAAACCACAAGTCACAGGTAGGGATTTGTTATACATCTCATGAAAGTTTCTCATTAGTCAAATAAATCCCCCAAAGTTCTACCTAATTATCATATGAAAAGACTTCTACAGTGAGGTGGGGGGCACTAATTCCTACTTCCCTGAAAGTAACTGAGAGAGACTGTCCTATCTGTGTACAGCCTTGGACCTTAAGTAGTCAAAAGTGGCTTTCACTCTTTCTCAAGAGAGACCAGAATAAGCAACTGTGACTCTAAGTCACCTCCAGCAGCCTCAGGCTCCCACTCTCTGCACTTCTAAACTTGGACCTGGCTGCAAGACAAGACAGGAAAAACTTAATTCCATCGTTTGCTGCTACTGCTGCTAACACAATCATTATTGCTATTACTACACAGCTCATACTATCCTACTGTAGCCACAGGGCAGGGCTCAGAAAGGCCCTTGGTCTACACTGCAAAAATAATGATCTCTTGTTCTCTGCCAGGCAGTGGGCTTAGCATTTTACTTATACAACAACAACAGGAGGTGTGTACTCTTACCACCACTGTGATAAGAAGCCAAAGCCCGGTAAGATGAAGTCACTTGTCCACCACTGCTGTTAGTGCATGGAGCCGAGAAGCTGCTAGTCTTGATGTGGCCCACACACTCCCGCCTCTCTGAGTGGTCAAGATGAGCAAAACCACCCTGTGAGACCCAGAACAAGTTCTCATTTTGTGAGGCCACAGTGAGGACTGAGTGTGGCACAGTGAAGCCAGGAACCCCACCCTCTTCAGCATCCCTGTCATGAGGCTGCCACTTTCAGCTGGCACAGTGCCCATATCCTCATCCTAACCTAGATGCTCTAGTGTTTTGAACTTATGCTGGTGTAATATACCATCTTTGCTTTTCAACCTTCTATCTCTGTTAATTCTATCTGTCCAGGAAGATGACAAAAGCAAGTCTGAAACACAAGAAAAATAACACTTAACAGTAACATTTACATTCTATTGCATGATGGTAGAAGTCCAAAAACCATTTAAGAACTGTAAAGAAACATTCAATGGTCATACACTTTTGTTGAAATACAAAAAGTATTTTCTATAAATACCATATGAGAGAAATGTGCAAATCATGATAATTTACAGAAAGCTTAAACCCACTTTCAAATGTTTCTAATTATCTAATGACACACTTTGGGTCCTGGGGAGAAAGGTCAGTTCAAACCCCCTTCTTGTTGTTGTCTACACATTTACACTATGGACAACAGCTTTAGAATTTAATTTTTTCAGTTGATTAAAATAAAAGCAACACACAAAAATTTGTTTGCAACCCAATACCATATGAAAGCCAACACAGTTCTTAAGACCAACAAGAATTGCATCCGATGGAACTCTACTGTAGAACTCCTCCTTTGTTGTGTGGTAAGGCCAGAAGTCCGCATGTTGCTTGCTGAGGCTTCCTGTTATGTACACACTGTATATAGATCTCATAATGCATTATACTCCACACATTTTGATGGATCCGTAGGAAAGTGCTTTTGGCAAATTGTCATTAACCTCTTCAGTCCCTAAGAAGTAAAATAAAGGTTCATTATGACATGACTGAACTATTTCTAACTGCCTTTCTCTGTAGTACTTTGTCAATGTCCCAACTAAAATAAAGCATCACCAGCGATTCCACACAGAAGGATGCCTAGATCAGTGTGTATTCATGAGCATTGCTTATCACAACAGTGTTAATGAAAAATATGTATTATACAGGGCTATGATATCAGTCATGCTGAGTGTGGGTGGAGAAAAGCATGCTCAAAGATACGGGAACTTTCCTGAGAGAACCACATCTCCAAAGTTAAAGCAGCTACACAGAAACTTCTGGAAATAAAATGACCTTGTCCATTCAATCATGGAAATTTTACCTCTGAATATACTACAATTTTTGTCTGAAACTTAAAAAAAAACTAGGAGTTAAAAAAACTAGGAATAATACAGTTTTCCATCTATATTTGAATACATGAACCCGCTCACAAAAGAAGCATTGAGAGCAGTAAGAATGTACAAATCCAGTCCACCTCAAACAGGTTCCAAGAGAAAATTAAGCCCTAAATACCCATGACAACTATTGAAGGTGATAACGTTTCTCTTTCAACTTATTCTTTGGTTCTGATCTTTTAAAATTCTTAGCTGCCCGTTACATTTTAGTTATTTTTCTTAGCTTTCTCACCCTTCTCTTAGAAGGTTAAAAAATGCCTTCTAAGCCTGTATACAAATTCTTTGTATCCCTTACAAACAGGCCAAGGACAATAGATAGAAGCTTGCAGCAAGCCACCATAGATCTCTCTTGAGAAAAAAAACTAGAGAGGAATTTACAATCAGAAAAGAACCCTACTAATTGTTTAATCAATTTCCAAATTTCCCTGTTTACAAGGAATGTTTGTTAATGCCTTACTGAAGTCTTTATAACATTATTGACTAGTTAGTTATTAAAACAAGAGTAGAGAACAGCAGTGCTTAATTTTAATGATCTTAAGCCATACCAATTTTAGCACAAATTATTTTAAGGTTTTTCATTTTTTAAGTTCACAAAAAATTAAAATCACCCAGTTCCCATCACAGTAAAAAAAAAAAAATGAAATTTAGACCTAGAATAATAACATTGGCTAAAAAGAACACTAGGTAGTATTCTCCTCAAACTCATTTTCTTCCCTCAAAATGACTTGATAGGGCAACTTTAAACAAGGGATTCATGATCCAATAGGAAGGAACTACAGGGCAGCAGTTATGCAAACCAGTAACTTCTGAACACAGCTGGAAATCCAGGAAGAAAGCATTAAAAATTCCATTATTTAGAACTCTTAAACTCAATATTCAAACAAAATTTTAATTTTTGCTTTGATTTTTGTCTATAATTTTAGACAGGGTTACAGAAGCAGCCCTGACTGGTCTGGAGCTCACAAGTAAAGCCCTCAAGAACAAACTAATCAGTTTGTTTCCTAGTAAAAACTGGTAGCACAGATATCAACTACTGTGAACTGTACTATGTAATAGACTCAGCATCACTGGAAGATGATGTTGAAATATTTTAAGAGTCCTTTCCAGATCCAAACATTGTCCATGAGACGTTATTTAAGAATGGAGATGTGGAGAGGCCGCCTTTCCACTGATTTCTATGATACAAGGGCTTCCCAGCAATGGGAAGAAGAGCAGTTTATTTATGTTGCACTTGGTATTTCTCCCACTAGCCAGACACTTGCTTTAGGATAAAGAACTCCCCCTCCATACTCCCAACATCCCCCGCTGTTGAGTTCTATCACATGTGCAAAATTTGAACTGTAGCTATGGAAACACATATGACATCACTGATTTGGCATCTCTAAGAGTCTTGATGGAGTAGATGGAAGAGGGGTACAGCTAGGAAAGATGAGACACGGGGCTTCAGTCAGCAGCCAAGCATGTCATGAACTGTTCTGAGCAAGGAATCGGCTGTGGGGAGCATTCCATAACTAGAACCTTAGGCAAGCTGCTCCTCAGAGAAGACATTTATGAGGTACCTTTACACTCAGAGTCTAAGAACAGCCACAGTCACACACCCAAACCAGGAACACTACTATAAATCCCTGTGAAAGGATTGATAGGTTAATATGGATTTTTAATAGTTGTCAATCTCAGAACATGTTTTGTTTTGTTTTTTCCCAAATGGAAACAAGTCCTTTCAATTAGAACCCCTTAGCTTTCTATTTCACCCTGCTATGGGTGGTTAAGCCGGACAACAGCTCAGCTCATCCTAACACAGCAAACAGCTGAGAGCCAGTGATATTTTAACTGACTTTTTAAAACACAGGGTCTCATTAGACAGCCCTGGGCTCAGACTGGTAACCCTCCTGCCTTGGCCTCCGGGGTACTGATGACTACACAGTCATATGCACCACCTAACTGACTTTATTCTTTTATGAAAACATATTTATGTGAACATCTGTTTAAGAAGTGTCTACTGTAAACCAAGCACTGTGCTAAATGCTGGAAATACAAGAAAAAACAAGGAAAAAAAAAGTCAGATGGAAAACAACAAGAAAAACCCATCCTAAGTAATAAGACAAGACAGACAAGATACATCATGTGATGGTGATAAACGCTGTGGAAACAGCGAGCAGGGGAGGGATATATGTCGCCGGAAGGATTTTTGACTCTGAATTAAGAGAGCTAATATCATAGTAAGCAACATAAACTATTTTAACTGCAACAGTGTAGGTGCCAAAGAGAATCAAAGACAACAAACAAGGACAAACTCAGAGGAGATACTGCAAGAATTCACATGAGAGAGGTTGATGGATATCCCAAATGGCAGCTAGGACAAACTCAGAGGAGACAGTGCAAGAATTCACACAACAGAGATGGTGGCTGTCCCAAAATGGCAGCTAGAAGAGGACAAGCCCCATAAATCTTTCAATAGAGTCATCAAGATTTGAAAGCAGGAAGTTTGTGAATTGTGACAGAAAGAGAAAAGGATAATCCTGGGGTTTGGGTTCATGTTATGTAAAATAACACAGATGGAACATAAAATAACAGTATTCATTGGCCTTACTCCTTTCCACTCCCAATTCCAGCCCACAGAGGCAACTGCTTTCACACCACTAAAGAAATTTTTCTGGTGTTTCCAGTCATAGTTGTAAATGTCCTATATAACAGCCCTGGGTTTTTCCCCTAGAATATAACCTACTTACTTTTGACTATGAAATTAGTTGGATTTAATGGTCTTATATTATGCCCACTGGTCCCATGTATGTATACACACTACATAATCTCTTCCCACCCCTCCCCAAATCACAGTTCTAAGTGAAAACTACATTCATAGTTAATCTCATAAAGGTTACACACAAGTCCTTTATGCAAACTACACTGTATTAGGATAACCACTCTTTTTGTAAGTCTGCGCCCTTTTAAAAATCATCTCTTTCACTTTCTTTCTGGGATAGTCTAGCCAATCTGTTCCATTCTGGACCTTTTCATGTATAACCGCCAGAACACTGCCTCACCTTCAATCTTGGGAGTCCTCTCACCTTGCTCTAAACTTGTTTTCAGTTTCTGGATTGTGTGGTTTGCTTCCCTCACTTTAGTGGAGGTTATCTTCAAACAGAAGTACTACAAACACAGCTAAGACAGTCCAGGATCAAACCAATCCCAAGCATATGATTGAGAACATGCCTTTCTGTCTCATACCACACATGTCAAAGAGAAATTGCAAAAACTCAAACTGATAATCCAATGGGCAGGTCCAAGGACTTCACAAGGGCTACCAGAGCTTAGGGCCAACAAGGAGCATAGTACAAGACCCTAGAGCTGGCAATCCTGAGATTGTGGCCTGGCCACAGTCTCAAAAGACATGAGACAAAAAACTACTGAGACACAGAGAGCAAATGTTTGGAGACAGCCTTTTGGGGGAAGCAATGCCTGAGGCAGAGGGGGTGCAGCAGGAACTCTGTAGGGAAAATAAACATCTGAAACTTGTTCCACTACAAAATAACCTTCCATTTCCTTCATACCTGCCCCGTGGGAAACCACAGAGAGAAGGAGCCAGCTAATGCTCCAAGAACAAAGGAAGCCATCTGGGGAGAAGTAGTGGCAGAGGAAGGTCTGTGCTGTCTCCTTCTGATTGTCTTTTTGGACAACACTATCCAAAAGGTCTCTAGAAATGACCAAATTATAGTCTCTAAATAATCAACTTTTTATAATTTGTGTAAAAGAAGCTTTCCCAACATCTGGGCCGAAGGTTTCCTCTATATTTGGCAGAGTAAGTCATCCCTGAAGTTACTACCATCAATTTAAACCTAACCAGTAGACTTAGGTGAGCTAGTAAGCTATACAGCTTTTGTCTGATCTGCCTGGTGAGAAAACTCCCCATGGTATATTTAGTCATGTGAAGAACAGAACACTTCAAACAACTTCCACGGTTGAAGTCTACAGAGGTTTGCATAAAAGCCAGAAGATGAAATCATGTTTCAGCAAACAGTCTCCTGAATTGCTTTCCACCACATTTCATAAAACACATTATACTAGCATTTCAAATAAAAGTAAGAATCATTTCACACATTCTGAGTTTCCATTTATATAACGTTCAGTAACAGGCAAAACTAGGAAGGACTGTAAGTCAAGAATAGCACTGAGTAGGGGCTGGAGAGATGGCATAGTAGTTAAAAGAACTGGCTACTCTTGCAGAGGACCCACTGAGCCATTCCTCCAGCCCCCCACCTTATTCTTAATACTGTCACCTTATTCTTACTACTGGCTGCTGGTAAAGTTCATATGAAGCTTCGTTTTCATCGCTTGATGTGACATCCACACATTTTGGTGCCTCTCAGATTGTCTTTGATGGTGCTAATAACACATGAACATATGCACAGGAGTTCCCAGAAGAAAATAAGGAAGAGCCTCTTGGAATATAGGTAGGACTGTCCTAAAGGCTCTAATCCAGGGGGACAAAAGATAAGAAGAAGAGGCCAGCTAGCTAGCATAGGCATTCCCACCTCACTTTCCAAAGCAGTAGTTCTCAACCTGTGGGTTTTGACCCCCTTTGGCAGATCTCTATTGCCAAAAAAATATTTACACTACTATTATGAAGTAGCAATGAAACACTTTTATAGTTGGGGTCACCACATGAGGAACTGCATTAAAGGGTAGCAGCATTAGGAAGGCTGAAACACTGCTGTAAAGTCTTTGAAACTGTAAGCCAAATAATCCTCCCTTCTTCAGATTGCCACTTACATGTCAGGCACAGTGACAACAGCTTTGAATAACACATCATCCAGTCCATCAGGAAGATACTAACAAGTCACTCGATGACCTGTGTAACTATAACTAACCTCTGCCCAAGGAGAGACATGGATCCATTATTTAGTAGCCAAGGTTTCTCTAGCCAACAGGCTGAATCCAAAATACTGTGTCCTATTCACAGCAGTATTAGTTGATCTATATCTCACATGGTACACTCACCAACTTTCCCTAACCATCTAACGGGGCCTCACTGTTTAGCCCAAGCTAGACTTAAACTCAGGATGCAGTTCTAACTATCTCAAAATTCTCAATCCTCTAGCCTCCCACGTGTGCTGAAAAGGAGACTTCAACAAGGAAGCATTTATAGCTCACTCTGAAGTGCTTGCTGCCCAAGCATGAGACACAAGAGTTCAATCCCTACAACTCATGTGAAAAGTTAGGCATGGTGGTGTGCATTTATAATACCATCACTGGGAGGTAGACACAGGAGGATCCCTGGGACTTGCTGGCCAGCTAACCCAGCGGAGTCAGGAACCATGCGAGAGACCCTGTCTCAATAAACAAACAAACAGGAGCTGGAGGGATGGGACTAGAGAGATGGTTCAGTGGTTAACAGCACTCACTACTCTAGCAGAGGACCCAGGTTAGGTTCTCAGAATGCAGAGTGGCTCACAATTGTCTGTAACTTCAGTTCCAGGGGATCAAACACCCTCGTCTGGCCTCCATGGGTACAAGGAACACATGTGGTAGACATATGTGGGCAAAATATTCATACATATAACATAAAAATATTTCCTTTTTAAAAAAGGATGTGGATATCTGTCCTGAGAAACAATATTCTGAGGTTAGCTTTGGCCTCCACACATCTAGGCACATGTACCTTCCACATATATCCTCTACATATATGTATGATCAGCCACCCACACAGGCATTCATGAACACACAAATTTTTTTAAATACCTTTTAAAATATCAAACTATAAGGGTTTTTAAATTGTATTTTATTCATGCACTTTTTAATTATGAACACTCTATCTGCATGTATACTTGCATGCCAGTAGAGGACATCAGATCCCATTATAGATGGTAGTGAGCCACTATGTGGTTGCTGGGAATTGGAATCAGGACCTTTGGAAGAGCAGCCAGTGTTTTTAACCACTGAGCAATCTCTCCAGCCCCTAGCCCCTTTCAAATTTATTTATATAGTAGTTTTATTTAAATGCCATAACAACAAACCTAAAAGTTTACCCAGACAAAGTATCTTAAACAACACAAGAATCAAAGAATATTGTTAAAAAGGAAGGTTGAAAGAAGGACAGGTCATTGCATAGCTTCAAAATAAACTAGAAATCCTCTTAGACAAATGATATATACAGATATAGGCAGATGTATATAGATAGATATACAGATAGACAGGCTATCTATTTATATCTATATATTTAAAGAAAATGAGTCTAGGAGGAAGTAGAAACCACACCATTCTTTATAAGAAATGCTGTCTTTAAAATTATCTAATTGGCCAGGCGTTGGTGGTGCACGCCTTTAATCCCAGCACTCGGGAGGCAGAGGCAGGTGGATCTCTGTGAGTTCGAAGCCAGCCTGATCTATAGAGCAAGTTCCAGGACAACCTCCAAAGTCAGAGAAACCCTGTCTCAAAAAACCAAAAAAATAAAAAATAAATTACCTAATTGTATGAGCTTTTAAGCATTATAATGTAGCCACAGTATAAATGAGCATGATTAGCAAATTTAATCCTTGAAAATTATATTAAATTGTCAAAGGAAAAAACCCACTCTTTTCTAACTCAAAGCTTTTGCCTTTTTTACAGCAATCTGTGGCTATTAAGAAATGAAAATGGGGCCAGTGAGATGTTCAGCAAGCAAGAGTAAATCTAATGACCTGAATTAGATCCCTGGAGCCCACCATAAAGGCAGAAGGAGAGAACTAAGACTCTGACCTTTACCTGAACACCATGGCATGCATGTGCCACCTGCCCCACATACACACACAATAAAAACGTAATGTAATCTTAAAACTTTAAAAATAGAAATGTCTTTGAATTTAACCCAAGTGTATTTAAACTATAAACTGCACAATTCACATTGGGGAGTCAGGTTGAAATGTTTTAAAATGCTAATGTATGTGAATAAAGTATAAAGTTTGCCACACAAATTAACATTCAGCACTTGGAACTAAAACACAAACGAAGACAATTCATGAATATGGTAATGACTATTCTCTGGCACAGCATCTGAGCGCACTTTATGCTTTTAAGCAAATTTTAAGTCAACTTCCGAAGCTCATCTTCATGTTTAAGAACTGACACCAGCAAGTCGTTACGCACAATCTGGGATTTGTAACTGTTTGCCAAAGCTAGATTATAATTGATTTTGTTTTTTATTCACATACAGTTTTCAGAAAAGTTTAGCTCAGTGCAAACAAGTTTGTCTGAGGCATATACAACTTCAAGAAAATAACTATAAATACTTCAGACTTAGTCAGGTAATTAGAAAAATATTTTCATATGCTACTTAAAAACAATCATATACACTGAAGCCAAGACTTCCCTTTGCATACCTTCTGAGGTTAGCATATATTACATCCACCTTGGAAGTCACATTATTAGAAAATAACTCTAAATTGGCTGTCTTCACTAAACACCCAGCTTTCTCTTACGAACTCACTTGATGTACTTTGAAAAACAAAAAAAGTGAGCTGGATATGGTTCATATCAACAGCTCCAGCACTCAGGAGGTGGAGGCAGTGAGTTTGCGGCTAGCCTGGACTACACAGGAAGCCAGCCCCTATCTCAAAACAAAGCAAACGCCAACAGTTTTGTTTTAGTTAAGAAAACTAAAAGCATAATGGTTTCCCTCCTTCCCATCATGTACGAAGTCACTGGCGTCCTTTACTGATAAATGCCAGTGCTCATCAGCTCTGGACTTCGCTGCGTCCCCCTGTGCTACGCCCATTCACTGCGCACTTCCCTTCTGTGGGGCCTTAGCTGCCACACTTCCAGCTACCTTTAGTCAGTGGTTATCCTCATGGCTTCTTTCATAGGATCAGCAGAAGGACAACAGTAGCTCCCACCGTCTACCACCATGACATCACCTACATCACCAACCTCACTTCATCTTCTCATGCAGAAATTGTGCCTCAGGCCATCGCAGTGGTCAGAGTACCACTGTTTCCAGGGAGGCCAAATTCACATAACCTTCATTACAGAATATCGTTACAACTGTTCTCTTTCATAATCAGTTATTAACAACCCCTTCTTCTGCTTCTCCTTCAACTATAAACAATCCTCCCTACCCCTCCTGTGTTTCATGATTATCTGAGACATGATCTCCCTCCCTTTATTCCAAGAATCAGAACAAGATTCTCTTAGCTCTACCTTCTGAGTCCTGGGATTACAGATGCATGTCACCAAGTCTGACTTGTGATGTTAATTTCTTATTCAGCCTAATTAATATTTTATCATAGTTAAATATGTATCTGGGCTGTGGAGTAGTATGTACAGGGTTCAGTATTACCCAATGTTTCAAGTATCCAATGGAGGTTGTTATCCCCACAGATAAGCAAACTAGCATAATCCTTTTCTTACATTTTAGATTTTTAAGTTTGGAGAATTAAGGTTAGAGTAGGGCCGTCAAGATGGTTTGGAAAAACCAATTGTGTGCTGATGACCTGAGTTCCATTCTCAGAACCCACATGAACATAAGAGAGAAATAACTCCCCAAATCCTCTGACCTCTATATGCATGCCAAGGCATGTGCATGTCCATGTACACACACACACACACACACACACACACACACACACACACACACCTTTAAAAAAAAAAAGATTGTTAGAGCAAATGTTGTCCCTTAAAGCTGCTTACTTGAATGTATTTCCGCTGGGTTTCATCATTTAAAACATGTGCAACATGCTTGGAAAAAATCTTTTCCCTGCCAGTTCTTGCATGAATTCCAACCATAGTGACACCAATAGGCCAGGGAGCATTTCCAATGGCCATCTGAAGGTACGCATCATTCGCCTGAAAGGAAAGTTTAAGAAATCAGAAAGGCAAAAAACATTGGTTCAAATGTTTGTTTCAAGTTTGCATAGCACCTCCTGACATACTTTTTATCTACCTCTTGATGAAAATATTGTGTTCCATTGCTCAATCAAGACACTGAAGTATGGGGTGACTTACTACTCTACCCAGAAATACAAATGCCTGTGAAAACAAGCCAACGCTAAGCATGTAAAAAAGACAAGCAACCCTTTCTAGCCTTTGTGCACTGGAAAGCAAGGCACCTCAGACTAGAATAGTATGTAGATAACTTGACATGCTAACAGAAGCTCTATTTTAGAGTAAGTCTTTACCACATGTGGCTGGAAGGTAGACAGAAGCTAGCTAGCTTTCACCATCCAGCCTGCAAGCACATAGCAAATCACACAGCTCTATAGGGCTCTGGAAGCAGTGTGTATTGGATGGGGTAGGGTTGTGCTCTATCTGCTTGGACAACCGCCTACAGTCCATAACAGATGGACAAACAGACGGGACACTGACTTACAAGCCACAGCGAAGCATGTGAAGCACCAACAGAGTGCTTTTCACTTTGATTCACAAACTTCTAACCTCCCCAAACGTCCCTCCCACCAACGGTCTTAAAATAAAACCTCTGAAAAGTCAAGGCAGAAACCAGTAAATACAAATGGCATGATTTTACAGTCAGGTCTGGCTAGCTGTGAGAAAGGAGGAAGAAATAGAACAAAGAGCAAGTAACTTCTAAAAGATTCCCCAAGGACTTCATGCACTTAACAGAGATTCTAACTTCAAAACTCTAACTGCATGATGTGTGGGTGGGTAAAAACACACAGCACTACAGTTAACTGGGAGATCGGTGCCCATCCTAGAAAGAGTGTCAGCTTGCTCTACAACACATTATACAGAGTTTAATTTTAATGGGAATTCTGCATGCTTTTAATCACTGGCTCTCATGTGTAACTTCAACACAGGACTTAACCAATAAATTTCCAATTTTCAGCTTCTCTAAAATTCCAAAGAGAATTTTCCAGCACATTATTCAAATTTACTGTTTCTTTCTGTCATTTACACAAAACAAGCTCTCACCTGGTTGTGATATACATCATGAGAATAAAATAATGGAAAAGTACCCACCAGGGTAAGTAGTGATTAAATGCTTTCAGCCACGACAAGGGCCTTGGCCATGAATTACTCTACAGCGTGTAGTGATATCTTGTTTGTCCACAACCACACCTTACCTTGCTGAGTTCCCAGCTGAAAGAGACTGAGCACCTGTCTCCTCCCACTTTACCACTTCCTTCTCTGCCCAGCCATCTCACTTCCTGTCGGTCTGTATAGACCTCCACAGTCCCTTCTCCCCTTTTCTAGAGCTCTAGCACTCCACTGAGATTCAAAGAAATCTTCATTCTAGGCTTCTTGGGAGGCTAGTCAGTAGAAGCCCCTCCTCACTGTTGTATCATCTGTATCCTTCTCTCCCTCTTACCAACAGATCTCCCTCCAATACCACCTTCCAAACTCTCCTCAATAGTCCTAGAGAACCCAGAGTAAAGACACTGGAGTGAATACCAACAGTCCTCCCCAGAAGTGCTCTGCCATCACTATAGTATTGTAAAGGTTGAGATGAGACCTGGCAGCCTTCCATGCACCATTTTCCCACAGAAACAACCACAAAGCATAGGTAAATTCCACTGAATCAGCAGTACAATAGTTCAGCTATATTACAGATTAAATGGACTTTTGTAGTGGTCTGAAGAACCTTGATCCTATGGGAGGAGTCATCCCATGCCATAACCAACTATTTATCCACTCTGAAATTCAATCACATCCATAAAATGAACACTGCCTATATATAGCACATGCTCTGAACAACCTTTTAACCTAATTCTACAATGACTAGGAAAATAGAGTTATGGTTTAAGGCTTGTTACTCAATGCCAAGAGAACAGAAAGATTTTTTTCCTACTCACTTGCTTCACAGTCATTCTTAAATGTACTAAGTACAATCCTTCCCATTCCAAATAACCATTATGTTATAAACATAGCCTAGATAATGGTCACAATAACACATAGTATAATAATTTACCTTCACATACTCTCTTTGTAACATGAACTTAATAATATCTGTAATGGACTCTTTAATATCAGCAGGAAGATTCTGAAAAAGAAAAACATAACTAGTTTTGGAAGCTACTGAATGTAGTGAAAACTACTTATTCTAATTAAAAACAACAACAACAAAAAGTGTGTGTTAATAAAGTATTTTCCAGAAACCTCACCCTTTTCCGGAGCTTTCTGAAAAGCGGTCTGAGGTAGGACTCGGTCTGCTTCTGGGTAGCACTGTTCAGCTTGCCCTGTACGCTGCGTTTCACATAATCCTCTCTGGCATTCAATTCTTTAGCCCAAACGCCGAGAAGAAACTGTTGACAGAGAGAGTTAAGGCTGCAATGCCACCCAGTGGTTTGGGTGGGAAAGTTCCCTAACAGCCATGGTTTATAATCATCTTTACAACATTGTCCTGTTGATTAAGCTGTCACCAAGAAAGATTTAATTAACAAGTTCTGTTTGTTTGTCATGTGTTTCAAAGTAAAAAACAGCCCAGTTCATGTACTACTACATTGTAAGGTTGGCTCATTTCCTCAAAAATTAGAGCTATCAAATTCCTGCATGACTGGACTGATATAAACTTTCACTGTATTTTTACTTGTATTCATTACACATAGTTCAATTAATCCAGATTTATCTGACTTATCTGTACCAGTGTTTCTCAACCTGTGGGTCTCAACCCCTTTGGGGGGATTGAATGACCCTTCCACAAGGGTCATATATCAGATATCCTGTTTATTAGATACTTGCAATTCATAATAGTAGCAAGATAAAAGTTATAAAGTAGCAACAAAAATCATTTTACAGGTGGGGGTCATCACAACACAAGGTGGCAGCATTGGGAAGGTTGAGAATCATGGTTCTATACTATACGCACTTCATTCAATATTTGATCAATGTTTGAAGTACATTGTATATTATTTGGGCTTTCTACCTATACAGAAAATTCAATTTAAAAAATCCCAACACACCCAACTAATGATGAAGGAAGAAAAAAAAGGAACAAAAATAAACCTACGACCCACACTTTTCACCCTGGGTTTAGCTATATTCTCTTTCCAGAGGCAGGGGACAGTGAAGGTGACACGCTCTGACATGAGAACAGACCCACTGAAGAGGAAAGCTCCATGCTGCTACTTACACTGTCTAGCACTACACTGTATCCTAAATATAGTCTAGAACCTTGACAACTGAAATGTTGTATTCAAAACATAAATACTTTAGCTCGTTAGTGCAGGTGCACACCTTTCATCCCACCTAGGAGGCAGAGGCAGGAGGATAGCCTTAAGTTCCAGGATAGCCTGGTCTACAAAACAAGTTCCAGAACAGCCAGGGCCGCACAGAGAAACCCTGTCATAAAAAAAATTATGAATACTTTAATAACAAATTAAATAAATGAAACATAAATGCAAATAAACACACTCTTCATTAAATCTCCCGGTATGCAGACAAATACTTAAATAAATTTAGGATCTGACCACACTCTACCTAGACGACCAAAAGGAAATCCTGAGAACAAATACAGAACTAGTAAATCAGCAAAAATAAGCAAATATACACAGAACTCAAGAAACGGACCTTGCCGAAAAGTTAAATTTGTTTACTTTTGCACTGTCAATGGTCTTCCACCACCCTCCCATAACAGCCTCTGGATCGGTATAGAGAACAGGAGACTTCTTCGAACTTTTTGTTCACTCTATTGCTGCGATCATTTTAGCTTTTAAGAAAGTCCCATAAAGAAAATGAACACTCATTAACCACTGCATGGACAGTGAGAGGGGCTCCAGTGGTACAGCTCATTAGCTCCAAGTACTTACAGGACAAGTACAAATGTTTGTTTGACCAACACCCTATCCAAAAACACATCCACAAACGTATGACTGCAACACCCTATCCAGAAACACATCCACAAGCATACGACTGCAACGCCCTATCCAAAAACACATCCACAAACGTACGACTGCTTTTTACATGTCCACATGCGCTCCTGATTTTCCTTTCCCTAAGTACACACCTTCAGGAACTTGGTGATGATGTCCATGTCCTTATGATCGTCACCTTTCCCTAAGGACTCTCCCAGTGCCTGAAGAGAAAGAACAATACTTCTGTTCACTAACACAAAGCAATTTTTAAAAAGTATATGACAGTGTGTGTATGACCAACAATAGGTTAAAAGAGGTTTACCACACATATTGGCCTATTTTTTATTTTAAAATTTGTTGAAACTTCTAGACAAGTCACACACACACAAACTTGACTGCATACTTCTACTTGGAGACTGGGCTATCCAATAAGAATCAAAAGGTAAGAAGAGTTAGCAAGTCTACGGCATACACAGCCTGAAAGCACCCAATCTTGTCTGATCTCGGAAGCTAAGCAGGGTCGGGCCTGGTTTGTCCTTGGATGGGAAAAGAGTGAGCAAGAAGGCCCATGGGTAAAGGCAATTGCTGTCTGAAGATGCAAGCCTGACAACCTGAGTTAATTCTCAGAATCCAAGTAAGGGTGGGTAGAGGGAATGAGTCCACAAAGTTGTCCTCTGAGCTCCACACATGTGCCGTGGCAGCTGTCCCCCACTACACATGCGCACACCATATATACCACAATAATAGTTTTCAAACATCGTAAAGGCTTTTATTGTTTTTAGCTAAGTACCTGTGTTTGGATATGTGCAAGAGAGTGCAGGTTTAGCAGAGCACAGAGTTCAACATGGGTGCTGAGAGCCAAACTTACAAGAGCAGTGCATGGTGTTCTTAACAGCTGAGCCAGCCTGCTGGCCCCAACATTGTAAATTTTATATAAAATACCTGTGACTGCTAACAGAGCTGGACATTTCTGCTAGGTAGGTAAAAATGGCCTAAAGTCAGATTATGCTGGTGGTGACAACACCCTATAAATTTATGTTATAAACCACTCAACTGTATACTTTATTTGGGTAAATTGTATAGGGTGCAAATATCTTAGGACTGTTTTAAAAACAAAATAGGGAAGGAAGGCAAAAGGAACAGCAGGAAGAAGGGAACAAGCCTGACTGACAAGTGACTGCTCACTCCAGTTATTCAGGTGGAAGTTACAAACCACCTTAAACAAATGATAGGAGGGGAGGACAGGAAAACGACAACTCTAATGAGATCACTGCATGTTCCTTCAGGAGCCAGAAACTAAAGAGAACAGAAATAACAGCTTATGTTGCTATTAACATTAAATAAATAAACAAATAAAAAATGACTTGCTATATGCTAGACACTAACATGATACAATGTTGCTTCTTCATGAAGATTACACATATCATTCCACATGCAACACAGTGACAGAATCAGTAGGCTACATACTGCCCAGAATTGGCAGGAATGTAAGGACGCAAGCCCCTCATGTGCTGCTGGTAGGGTTATACAGTGGGACAGCCATATCCAGAGAGCAGCTTGGCAGTGCTCTGACAAATTAAATATGTATTATAAGCTCCACAATTCTGTATCAGTCCATGTCTGTGGCTAAAGAGGAGCTGAGAGCAGTCAAGCTACTCACTATAACAAGGAAACTAAAGTAAAATACAGGAATACCATAACAGATAGCCAAAACTATGCAAAAAATTTCAAGTGTGGATCTTAACAGTATGGGGGGGGGGAGTAAAATAAAGATGACCACAACACACTATTACTTTACATGCACATAAAAATTGCAATCTTTAATGGCTCCCTCTATTATGGTGACTCTTTTCCTGCTCTCCTCTATTCTTCCCCTGACTCAACCTTCCTGCTCCCCCATGTCCTCCTCTCCCCTCTCCTTCCCCATGCTCCCAATCCCCTCAGGAGATCCCATCCCATTCCCCATACCACATGGAGGGATACTCTCTCAGCCTGGACACACGGGGGAGGGCCTAGGCCCTGCCCGGGATGATATGACAGACTTTGAAGATCCCCCATGGAGGGCCTCACCATCCCTGGGGAGCAGAGGGGTGTTGGGGTAGGGGATGGGGGAGGAGGGGAGGGGGAGGGAGCTGGGATTGACATGTGAAGCAAGCTTGTTTCTAATTTAAATAAAAATAAGAAAACTGCGATCTTTACAAGAGCCCCACATAAAAGGATGCACATCAAACATTGCAATGCGTACTTTTGAAAGTAAGAAATACAGACATGCAAGTGAGTGAGAAAAAACAAGCACTAAAACTAAAAAGTGCCTTCAACAGCAAAGGAGTGTGCTGTGTAGCAACACTGCTCCTGAGGAGGAAGGGCTGCGGAATGGGCAGGGCTGGGGTAGAGATTACCTCTAATTCTTCAATGGTGGTGTTTTCTTCATGAACTTTCAAGTCATTCTGTGTGTCCTCCTCTCCAGGCTCCTGACCACCCACAATTTCATTCAAGTACTGCTGGTCAATCTTGTCCAAAGCTGCTTTCAGATCATTCCTTAAACCCTAGGAAAGCGACAACAAGAAGTGCACACCAGTTAGGAAACCTCGCTGGGGTGTGATGTGTGATCTTTCATTTCTATCAAGTGCATTTTCAGGCTGCGATGCAGCTCAGTTAGCAGAGTGCTTGCCTAGCATGTACAAAGCTCCCCAGCACCCTAGAGACTGGTCACGGACTACACATTTGTAGTCCCAGTACTTGGGAGGTAGAGGAAAGAGGACCAGATGGTTCAGTCTGAGGCCAGTCTGGGCTACATGAGAACTTGTCTCAACCTTCCCCTCCCAAACCTCCCCCTTCCCTCCTAAAAATTTGTATCATCAATACCATTATGTTCTAATAACAAAGTTCAGTGAAAGTGAGAAGTCTCTGACCACAGTCTACCCCCACTGGCTCTCTCCTCCTTGACTACAACCCCCCTATTTCCTCTATGGAGGAGAGCAGGCCCTCAGAAGACAAACGGACACGGCAGGATGCAATGAGATAGGGCAAACACCCTCATGTCAAGGCTAGACAGGGGGACCCAAGGGAAGGAAAAGATTCCTGGGAGTGGGCAAAGAAGTCAGAGATCCACCAGCTCCCATTGTTGGGAATCCCACAAGGACACCAAGCTAAGGTCTTCTGCGTCAACTCTCATTCTCTAAAGGATTTGTTTTAAAGAATGGTGATGGTTTACTTGAAGTACAATTTTAAAACAATGTTATATTTTATTACTGTGCAGTATTTATTTGAAAATGTTTGTAATTTGCTTTTTGCAACCTTATAATGGATATTATAAGAAAATGTATTGATTCAGTCTCATATTTTTAGGGATTTTATTGTTCAAATGATGCACACATGGTGTGTTTCTTAGTATAAGGAAAAGAGTTTTTATACTCTCTTTTTATAAAATATTAAAGATTTTCTATTTTGTCCCACAAATGTTTTAAATATTTGATTTTTATACTGTACAACAATGATCTTCAGTCTAAGACAAGGTAAAAACAGATCTGTTTCACTGTGTACATGTTCTGTGTTAATGGTAACTTTTGGCGTAAGAATTCACAGGTGAACAGAAGAGTAAATTCATAAACAAATGATTTGAAATGAAATGTCATTGGGCATTTAGTTTCCTCCTTTGGTTCATCCCCAGACAGTCTTGTGTAAAGATGGCATTAACTGGGTGCTGTGTCAAAAGTCAAACAAATACCAATGTTTTTATACCTGTTCAATCTCTACCTTTTCAAATTGCTGGATGGGTCAATCAAGAAAATTTTATAATATATTATGTTATAAAGTATAAGAGTAAGTCAGCAATTGGATTTTTTGAATTATTACAATGTAGCCAGAATTTTGAAGAATGTTAATCTTAATCTATTAATTTAACAAACATTTTTCACATAATGCAGGATGGAAAGTTTGCTAGAGTTAATGGACAATAAATTGTAATTTTGATTTTAATTTAATTATTAATTTTTGATCCCCTAGACATTATGGGAAGAATACTATAATTCAGAGCAAGTACAAATGTGCTTTATAGTTTGGTGGAAGAGAAGCTTAAAAAAGAGGAATAGAGAACAGTATACTATTAGTACTTCAAGTAAGACACACCTTGCTAGTTTTTTAATTTTATAAATGGTAGTACTACGATTCATTATCTTGTAAGTGCATGCAGGAAATTTAACAATTTCAACTATCACATTGCATTTATTTGTTAAAATTTTGTTTGGGTTGCTGGTATAGATGACATTTTATAATGATGTTTACTGCATGTTTATAGTGAAGTATATATAGAAATATACATGGTTACCTGCTTACTATTTTGAGAATTAGAGATGTTAACATAGGGTGTGTTCTCATATCAGTTTAAAAAAAACAAATTATATTGCTGTATCCACAGAATTCATTCAAAATGAATATTATTAAAAAAAAAACTAAGTGACTGTGTCTCATTAGAGGACCCCAATCCGTTTTCCCATGTCACATACAAATCTAACCTCATCTCAACTACTCTTGAATTACTATGTGTCAATGGAATAAACCTGGTGCCTGTTTAAGCCAGGCTCTAAACTCTGTTTCTACCAAAATAGCAAGTTCCACATTCAATGTATTTCCTGGCTTGAGTATTTAAAAAGAGAAAGGAGCAGGCTCCCTAAGCACTGATGGTGAGGTGAAAATGGAAGACGCCGTGCCATAGTGGTTGAGAGCAAAGGTGATTTGGTTCAGACCTATGCTGTGTGTGAGTTCTTCAACAACACTTTTATGCCTTAACTGCAACGTTTATAAACTAGGAATAATTCTACCCACTCCATAGACTCATTACAAGCAGCAGCTGTTGCTTTTTTATTTAACATTTACTAGGTGCTAGGACTGTTCCCAAACCCTTGCAAAATATAAAGTTCTTTCAATGAGTTAATGCGCAGTGCACTTTCAACAGTTACTGTAGCAGAGTAAGCACCTGGCAGATGTCAAACTCTTACTATTGTTATACTAGAAGTGTCAGAGAATTTCCTACCACCCTCTCATCAACACAGAGAAATATTCAATGCTAATGCTTCTAATTTAGCAAACTCTGACTACTTGCTCTATGTAATGTCCAGGACCAGCTCATTTAATTCTCAAAACACCCCAGTGAGCAGGAGGTCCCACTGTATTTTACAAGCAGGACTGGAGTACATTAAAAGACTTGCCATTGGTCACATAAGTAATCATTCCGCTCCAGGAATGGAATCCAGACCTTTATCCCTATGCACTTTCCTCGGAACCTTGAGAAGTAAGGCCTCAGCACAAATACAAAAGCAAAGCAGCCCCTCACCTCCGGGCTGGGATAAATATGCACAAAACTCTGCCATCAGTGAATACACTAAGTGCCCCAGCAGAGCTTTATCATGGAACAGAGAGAAGGAAGCAACTGTTGCTGATGGGGACTATGGACAGGTTTTTAAAAGGGGGGGGAGGGAGTTTTGCATTGTGTCTAGAAGAACAGAGACAAGATTTTCAGGGGCATTTTAGAGAAAGAGATGGCAAGCACATCATTACAGACACAGAGGGCACAAATATCCCAGGAACTTAGTACTACAGGGCTGGACTAGCACTGCTAAGATGCAATGCAGACGCAGGCAGGAAGCACAAACTAGCAAACAAACACATGGAGCAAAACCACTAGCCAGCCTGCAGCTAGCCTTCCACTCCTGAGCCACCAAGCCCATAAGGGAGGCCGGAGGGGGCAGTCCTCATACCAGCAACAGCTTCCACCTGACTGCAATTACATGAAGACCTTAGGCAAAGGACTGCCTAGCTTAGCCCCATCAAATGTCAGAACTGAGTTTGTCTAGTGCCCTTAAAGACACAAATAATCAAGGAAGACTTGATAATAATAAATTGCTTCACAGCACCAAGTTTTGGGAAGGTCTGTTATACAGCCATAGAAAACCACCATACCTTTCAGTAATTAACAGAGTAAGTTGATAAAACATTAATGAAGCCCCAGAAGAGCTAAACAAACATGACCCTAACTGACGTGTGTAGAACCAAACAACCAAAGCACAACCACATTCCTTTCGGAGCCCACAGAATGGACCAGATACTGAGCACAAATATGACCAGAGCCTCCCATGTAAAATCTACAACTGTTACTTCTACAAGAAAACACAAAACATCTCTTCAAGTCTTTGGCATATGCAAAAAAAATTCTCAAGCAGAACACAAAAGCAACAACCATAAGAAAAATTTAAAAATTAAATTAAAAAGCAGCTAATTAGGACCTCATCAAAATTTAAAACTTCTCAACAACACTCCATTAAAAACAGTAAGTAATCACAGGCTAGGAACAAATAAATCAAAAATCCTATCTGAGTACCTAACAAAAGGCTTATATCCAGCATATATAAGCAGCTCCTAATTAATAAAAGGCAAACAATCCAATTAAAAAATGAACAAGGGGCTCTAATAAAACTGTGTTGGTTAATCTTGCTGATGAAATTTATGGAAACAAATCTAGACTGGGTTAAGTGAGGCTGGACATCCACACTAAGTGCAAGTGGTATCATCCCATAGCCTGTGGTCCCAGATGGAACAAAGAAAAAGAACCAAACACCAGCACACATCCCTCTGTTCCTGACTGTGCAATGTGACCGATGACCCCCTGCCTTCCTGGCCAAAGGAACTCTATCCCTTGAAAGTGTCAACAAAATAGTTAACCTTAAGCTGCTTGTGTTGGGTGGTTTGTCACAGCAATGACACAATACAGACACTGTACAAAAGAAGGTAAGTATGAAAAGATGCACATTCATCTTCAGTCATCAGGGACATGAATAAAACCATGACATCTAACACATACGAGGAAATGGTTTAAATTCAAAAGTCTAGCAAAATCATATGCTGATCTTTAGGAATGTCTGGCACTTCTTATAAAGCATGCATTTACTCTTATCATTGAGCAATGCTACTTGTAACTATTACCCTAGGAAAAATCTATTTACTCCAGAGTGGGGAGACTACATACCTCCTCCATGAATCTTTGCATGTGAGTATTCATGATAGTTTTATTCATAGTAGCACAAAACTATAAACAAACTGTAGTATATTCATATAAATAAATATAACTGAACAATATCCACAACAGCATAGATAGCACTTTTAAAAATGTCATGCTGAGCAAAAGAAACTAGATATTCACTCTTGGGTCTATCCATATGAAACACTAAAAATGTTAAAAACCAAAACAGAAGTAAAGCTTAACTAATGGTGTCTTAATTCAGAAAGGAAGCTGCCTGGGAGCAGAGAAGTGACACAGGCATTGGGTGATGAATATATTCTCTATCCTTACATGCTCATGTGCATTTGTCAAAATAGATTGATGTTATGCTTAAGATGCACACGTCCCTTAGAAAAAGCTGCTTCAGCAGCACTAGGCTGACACTGTTTTCTCCTATTTGCCTACAGTAATGCAGTCAAATCTCACTCTACCCCAGCTCATGTAGTACCATCCTATGCTGGCAGTTTCTCATATTCCCCTACAATAACGCAACCAGTTAAATCCACGCTACTCTAGCTTACATGGTGCCATTCTGTTTTTAGCTTTGTTCTGACTTCTCACCTTGTTAACTTCTGGTGTAAGAATCTCTATTTTTCTTAACCGTTGGAAAGCATCATAATCCGTTTCTCCAAATAGTCTAATTGGTTCTCCTCTTTCTCTCAGTCTTCTGATGACCTACGAAGATATACAAAGGAAACTTCAAAGAGAGAAAAAAAGAAAGAAAACTAAACATCTCAAAACAACTTGCATATTTATCTTAAACTGAAACCTAAATTTAATAAGTATAAAATAATTACCCAAATAAATGTTTCTAAGTGAAATATAAAATCCTTCAATTTAAAATAAATGTATTTGTGTGGGCAGTGAACTGTGAAGTGTGTGCAGAGATCAGAGAATAACTTACAGGAGTCAGTTCTCTCCATCCACCATGTGGATACCAGGGATCCAACTCAGGCCGTAAGGCTCCACAAGCAAGCACACTCACTGACAGTATGACAGCACCAAGATGCTTCAAGTAAATTTTAATCATCTACCTTTAACAGATATTTGTGAATGAAAGGGGGAAATACTTTAAACACTACTTTGACTCAAATGTCTCATACATTATTTTACTTTGTAATTCCTATCAAGTTGCTTGACATATGAATCTATAATGCAAATCTAAGGCAAGCCCTTAATAAAAGCCATCTAGTTTTAACACACAGACACACAGACATAGACACATGGACACTTGTCAGAACATACATAACATAAGGGACACACTGTTGGCCTTCATCTTATGTAATCATGACTGCTTAGTCCTTTTTTAAAGCATATGTTAATACATACTTTAGTATCCAAACACTATTTTGAAATATAGATTTTAAAAAAAGCAAAACTCTGTGTCTGCTATTCCAGGATTTCATACGATAGACATGCTATATGTTATGACTACACTTTTAGCAGTTTAGATCCTCTGGAGGCCTGTTTTAGGTAGGGGGTACGTGCAGTAGGTCACATAGGAAAAACACTACAATGGAGGAAGGACAGTCTGAGCAGAAAGAGGAGGAAGCACTGTGATACCATAGTCAAACCTGAATCCTGCCCTCATATGAGAAGATGACTTGTGATTACAATGGCCACATCAGGGCTTTTAAAGTATGGGAACTACTTCCATTCTTGACTTGGGTGACAGCTACATGGGTTTTTGTTTTGTAATTAGTCAATACACTGCACATATATATTTTCATGCTTTGAATGCATATTTCACTTAAAAACAAGAAACAAAATATGCAATCAAGAAAATAGAGGCTTATCCAAATTAAAAAAATAAAGAAAATAAAAACCACAAAGAAACTGTATCTGGATAAACTTCCAAATTTCTTACTAACTTTCACATGGTAGCTTCAAGAGTCAGTCTACACTTCCTTGAAGGTCTCCTGATATGTGGTGTCCATCCGAAGCATGTGAACTGTGTTGCTGAACTATAGCTGCCAATGCACACTTGTCTTTGAAAGAGGAGAAAGAATCTTGTGACCTCAACGTCTTTCCACTCAATCCTATCCACAATTAGACATGTTGGGACACACAGATATTTATAAGGTATCACAAAAATAAAAGATCACTGAGTCAGTCAAAGCTTAAAAGAATCTAAAATAGAAAAAAAACCGAGTTTATTACTTTAAAAACACTGTTTCCAACTGGAGACTATTAGCAACAAACCAAGTAACTATAAACTATGTAATACTTATTACATCTCTTTAAATAGGGAATTCCTATCTACCTGGGATCACATGACAGTAGTTATGCCTAAAGGCAGGCAATAAACTATCTGCCCTCAAAAATGTATAAAATGTCTATCATTCTAATTTATTAAATAAGAAATTCAGGGACTAGTGAGGTGGCTCAGGGGGTGAAGGCATTTGCCAGCAAGCTTAATACCCAAGTTCCACCTCTGGAACCACATGGTGAAGAAGAGGAGGCAGGAAGATAAGGATCATGAGGCAGACTGTGATATATCCGATTTCAATCCAGCCTGGGCTACACAAAACTGTCTCCAAAAACAAAACAAAACAAAAAAAAAAAAAACAGGAGGGGGGGATCATAGTACAAATAAATGATAAGAAATTAAACAGACATTAAAAGCTATGTAGCACTAAAAAGGGGGGCATTACTCAGATCTATGCTAATCTGAAAATAAGGAGAAATATAAATAGAAAAACAGTATAATTTAAATAACAAGTATTACTTAGGCTGTGTGAATTCATACTTATTTAAAATAAAAAAGAAAGACTCCTGGCCGGTGGATCTGGCTTGGTGTGTAAAGGTATTTGCTACACAAGTCTACTGACCTGGTTTGATGCCTGGAACCCATGGAAAGGCAAAAGGTGAAAACTAATTGCACCAGGTTGTCATCTGACCTCTCCACATGTGTCCTGACACACATGCCCCCACACACATCATACAGTCACACAATAATGATAAAGTATGTGTGTGTGGAGGGAGATTATATCTGTTTTCCCTGCATGTAGGTCTGTGTACCACCTGTGTCCCTGGTGCCCAAAAAGGATCCCCTGACACGAGTTACAGAGTGTTGGGAGCCACCACCATGTGAGTGCTAGAAATCCAATTCTGGTCCTCTGGAAAAGCAGCCACCCCTGAGCCTCTCTGGCTCCAGTTTTGTTTTGAAGTAAAAATACTATCAAAGGAAGCAAAGATTTAGAAGTTCATGAAAAAATTGTCTGGCCATACCAGATTTTTAAGTCAAATCATCTTTATTTTGGAAACAACAACTTCTGCAAGTATGGTGCACTTTTTCTTTCAAATATAACCTTACCTCTTGCCTAGAAAGAGTCATGGGTAGTTTTTCCTCCGCTAGTTCAAGTTCCAGCACGGGATTTGATGACGTTAGTGGTTTCTGGTCATCCTCTTTTGGCTGTATCTATATTAATAGCCCAAAGAAATGAAATTTAAACTCACCAACATATTTCTATCCACCATCTATCACCTTAGCCGTCCACATGACATGAGAGTGTTGAGACTGAAGGTCTCACTACCTGCTCCTCTGAGCACAGGCTGCAGAGTAACTGCATGCTTTCAAGAGCCGATCAGACATCCATTTCAGGAACAGGACACGGGAGAGCATGCACACGGGAGAGCGCATTCTTGCGTTAAAGGAGTGCCATAACCACAGTCATTTCAGAAAGAGAAACCCAACAGTGCTTAAATCCAAACTCAATTTCTCCGCAGATGCTAAAGCAGCCCACTTCTCTCTTGAAAACAATCAATTCGCCTCTCCTCTGTGAGGAAATTATCTTCACAGGTTAGCCGTGGCTCACCTTGAAAATGAAGGCTAAAGGACCGCCTCCCAACAGAGTCTATGAGGCTTGCTCAAGCTGATCTCTTCCTACGTTGCTTCTTTAGCCACACTACTCAACCTTGAATAAACCGTTACCAGGCATGTTGAAAAATGCCTAGAGTAAGCAACCGCACTACAAACTGAGCTGCCAACCTTGAAGAAAAGGAATGAAGACTGGAATGCCACCCGAGGGGTATGGACGCTTTTGTTCATATGAACCTCAGGAGAAACATCTTCATCTGCCTTTTCATATCCAGGCAGCAGTCTCAGTCACACACTGAGAAAACTGATCCCACACTGTATATGCCTCACTGTGTACCTGGAAACATATTCAAGTGTGGTTTCCATTCAACCACAGGTAAGTTTAAAATTCAGAAGTAGGAATAAGATTCAAAATACCATAAAGATCTGCTGTAAGACACTACTGTTCCATTAAGAAAATGTGTACAACAAAAATTATGCAATTCATGATTCTACAGCTTATGGTTAAAGGTAAAGTAAAACAGAGATAAGAAACTAACTTTTTGAATACTTATACAGGTCAAACCAGCATCAGCCTTGGAAATGGTGGCTAGCTCCTATACAAGAGTGAAAGCAGTACATACTACACTGCCACTACTGCCCTTAAGGAGGGAGGTTGTTAAAGAGCACATGAAGTTACCATTCTTTTTAATGACAGGTATTTCTTCCATCCAAGAGCTGGTGCATTTTAATTATAGCATGGCAGCTGACAGCTCTGGGACACAGATCTAAGACATTTTGTCAGTCAGATTAAAGGCTACAGCACTATCACCATAGAAACTATTTGTGCTTCGCCCCTTCTCCTTTATACAAGAAAAAGAAAACAGAAAAACAAACGGAAAAAGCAAATCAGAAAACCCCAGGATGAAAAACCCTGCTCACATCACCAAAAGGATCTACACAAAGCAAAAGCCACGCTCTATTAGATTATTTTCCTACCTTCTTTAAAGGTCGCAAAGGTTCACACTTAGAGATCTAGTCAGCAGAGAGTGTATGATAAAGGATCTTTACTCCAGGTGACGCTGGGCAAGCAAAACATGACAACTCTTCTACAAGTCTACTCAATGGTAACTTATATAAAACGTCTTTTACTTTCCTGAACTAGAAGCAAATGAAGTTGTATCTTTACAGAAAACTATCAAAATACAAACATAAACTTGTAAGTATCTGTCTTTAAAAATATTCCTTTGATACTTGCCTTTTTCCAATGGAAAAAATAAAGCCAAATGCATATGGATAGCATCTACATTCTTCATGCTTTCCTCTAGAAATGCTTTGCTACCCAAATTAATTTCCATTACTTTCTTCATTCTGTAGATAGGCGTATTACCAAATGTATGATTCAGCATATTGCAATAGGTCCTGTTACCTGCAAGCTAAGAGTATTAACCTAGTCTGCTTTAGAACAACTGAAACAACTTCTCCACCTTGTAAGCTTTAACCCTCTCAATAAAAACCCCAGACATTATCAACTAGGCAGTGAGAAAGACTGCTTCAGTCATACACCTGAAGTATACAAATGAAGCTCATTTATTTCAAAATTATTCTTCTCCCCAATAGACTACACAGCATCACAAATGCTGCCCCATGTTTAAAACAAACAAAAGTATACAGAGGGTAAGTACTCTATCTCAGGCAGGGGTACTGGGTCTAAGAATTATCAATAATACTTGAATAAAACCAACTTACAGTGCTCAGGAGGAAACAGACAATAATGCTGCTAAAACAGTCAAGGCTGAATGAATAAGTGTTGTGAGCTCTTTCAAAACACGTTACTTTATTGGGAGAAGTAGGGGAGAGAGTGGTGGTGGAGATAAGGCAGTATCAGAACCAGGGACTAATTTAAAAAAAATAAATAAATCAAGCTTTGATCTCAAGGCAGTTCATGCTGTCCACAGAAAGCCAAACCATTCCAAGCCAAAAGTCATGCATGTATTTTCCTGAATTCAAGACCTGTTTTTTTAAAAAGCCAAACCAAAATCAAAAACTCATACCTCTCCAGACGGCTTCTCATTTATAGGCTAATGTATAACATCAATGAATTGAACAAAGATCAACAATTTTGTTATTTAACAACAGCTGTATAAATTTAAACTCAGAAATATATGACAGCATAAAACCTTGAACTTATACCTTGTAGCCACATCTTTCAAAATATGCTTCCTCTTCTTTTTTTGCAAGTTCACTCCGCTTGAAATATTTTTTATTTTCCTATCAAAGAAAAGAAAAACCAGTAAGTTAGTGAGGTATCTTTGGCATGCCCCATCGTTACCAAGCACTCTTAGAAACCTTTGAAAACACTTCAGTTTTCAAGAATTTGGTACTGTTTTCAGTCCTGGAGATAATCACACTGAGTGCCCCTGTGGAGGCCCCTCCGCCAAAGAGGGCTTGTGTTCTGATGTATGATAAACACTCAACCATTTCACTTGACCTGCAATAGGCGTTCTCACAGCAAAGAGAATATACCAACAGTATTTTCTCCATTCGCTTTCCTAACATCTGAGTTCCACGATAATCTCTACAGACAGATTTACTATGATCCAGAGATGACCTTTCATTATTTTCTCCTAACCAGAATAGAAACTACAGAACAGGAAGCCAGTTCAGAAAATCTCATCACTATGAGCACTCCAAAATAAGGTCTTATCACCTGAAATCAATCTTACTAATTCTGGGTTTTGTTAGTTATAACTCCTCCTTTGCATCAAATGAAAATTTGACTCCAAATGTTAACTTTTTTTTTTTTTTTTTTTTTTTTTGGTTTTTCGAGACAGGGTTTCTCTGTGGCTTTGGTGGCTGTCCTGGAACTCACTTTGTAGACCAGGCTGGCCTCGAACTCACAGAGATCCGCCTGCCTCTGCCTCCCAAGTGCTGGGATTAAAGGCGTGTGCCACCAACGCCCGGCTCCAAATGTTCTTAAATTGACCAGTAATCATAAGACTACGAACTTTTAGCAGACAGCAGCTGTACAATACACTCAAATGCAGTGGGCTCACGTGTCAAATGTTGATTTAACTTTTAAGAAACTGCCCATCTGTTTTAACTTCCCAACAAGACTCAGGGAACAATAAGCATTAAAAAATTGACAAACTGCAGGCCCAGCACTTGGAAGGCTGGGGATCAATCCAAGGTCAACCCAGATGATAGACAGAGCAAGACTACAAAGCAAGAACTGAGAGAAAGGGAGAGGGAGGCAGAGGGTAAGGTGAAAACAAACTGTGCTCTATCAAAGTCAAAAGCCGGCGGCGATATCAGCCCGGCTGAACCAAGCAATGCCAATCAGGCAATGGCTCTGGGAGAAAGGTCTACAGGATCACATTCTTAACTGGTGGCCTGGCACTGCCCCCTCAAGGTTCACCCTGGACACCATGATGGACTTTTTTCTTTTCTTTTCTTTTTTTTTTCTTTTTTTTTTATTTTACAAGACAGGTTTCTCTGTATTGTTTTGGAGGCTGTCGGTCCAACCCGGCCTCAAACTCACAGAAATCAGTCTGCCTCTGCCTCCCAAGTGCTGGGATTAAAGGCATACGCCACCACCGCCCGGCAACTTTTTTTTCAGAAGTTGCCACCAGCAGATACAAGATTCACTGACAGTTTCAAATACTTCTACCAGTTACAGCCTGAGACATTGCAGAGTATTGATGGCAAGTGTGTGACCCAGTTGAGGGCCTCCAGCTGGGAGGAAATCTCAGCAATTCAAGAGGAAGGGGACCTGGAAACTGTTAGATAAGACCACAGGTAAGCACCTTGAAGACCCAGGGGGAAGTCCATGGCACCCTACTTCCTGCAGCTCTGGACACGCGACTGTGCCTTGTATAGAACACCAGGCACCAGCAGCTGGCTGACATCACCCTGGCTGGGTGCAGGCAGGTCTAGGCTCACCAGCACCTGACAGGCTACATACAGAAAGCAAGGGAATCGCTGGCTGACACCATCCCATCCTGGTACAGGACCAGGTACAGCAGCATCTGTCATCTATATAGGCTATATCGGGAGAGCAAAGGAGCTGCTGTCAGCTCTGAGGGCATCAGAGTGGGGCGATGACTGAGATCCAGAGCACAGGGTGGTCAAAAGTTGAGCTGTGGTCAACACACTGGGCCTGGGAGAGTGTTTCCGGATATAGCTGAAATACACACGCACTCATGCACACGCTGAGTGTGTGTGGGCACACCGCTACTCAGATTCCCGGTGTTGTCGTCCATCTGGAGGACTGGCGTTAGCTAGCATCTATGTTCATCTCTCTGGTCCCTGACCATCCCCCCTATACACGTCCTACCTGGCTGTTTTCCAATCTATACTGACTGCCTTGTGGTTGACAAGCCCAAGGACCCCTGCCATACTCTCCCCACCCATAAATATAAATGTCGTCTGTGACCCAAACACACACAGCTTCTATTCATCAAAGAAAACTATTAGTGAAATAACAGCCCTATCTGGAAGAAAATATCCACAAGACATATACTTAAAAAAGAAAGTGGTGAGACATACAAAGGAGTCCAGATAATTGATAAAAAACTAACCTAATTTAAATTTGCAAGCAGTTTTAATACTTCACAAAAGATACATCAGAGGTACTTAATATGATTTATCAAGAAGATGTAAGTAAGAACCACACAGATAGCTCTCCACTGAGAAAGCTGGCAACATGACCTGCTGGTCAGAGTGCAGACAGGCCAACTCTGACCCTGCTCACGATGTGTAACATGACAGAGCGATGTTAAAGAAAGAAAAAGCAGGGGCATTTTCTACAACTAGGCATACATGCACTCTATAGCCTAGCAGTTCCAAAGAGAGAGGAAAACAAAGCTTCCCAAAGCTTCAGAATTTGCTCAACCAAATCTTAGAAACAGCTCAAATACTCACCACCAGGAGAATGGGTAACTGGGTCTATTCAGACGACAGAATGCAACTTCAGAAATTAAAAAAAAATACGCGCAGCAAAATGAGTAATATTCAAAACGTTCTGATCAAATGAGGCTCCCTATAAAAACGTACATCGAGATGGGAAGACACCAGAGCAGTAGCGGCTTTCGTGGCTAATCAGGGCAGGAACTGACTGACTAGAAGAGTGGAAGGTGCTATTTTAGCCCCTCGTGGAGCCTGGGTTACACAGGTGTTTTCATCTGTCAAAAATCACTGGATAGCAAACTTAAAGATGCATGCAGCCCTTCGCACGTACAAAAAGAGGAACAAATACGCACTGAACTCTATGACATGTGCCAGACTACTTAGGAGTAAAGCGTACTGACTCTCAGCAACATGATTTGGAAGGTCTAAAGACCAGTAAATTATTTTCATGACTCTATGAAAGCAGGCATTGGGTAGGACAGCAAGCGCTGAAGTGGCCCAGACGAAGGTTCAAATCCACTGTTGCTATGGGCTGGCAAACTTGCCCCAGGACAGTGTGGCAGATCTGTGAACCCCACGCCCGCCCCAAGTCCTCTCAGTATCATTTCTCTCACCCGACACCCTTCCCCGCACAGCGACACAAGCCTCAAGCCCCAAACGCCACAGCCAAAGGACCTCACCACCAGCAGGTTCCTGTCCTCCACCAGCTGCCGCTTCCGCAGAATCTCTGACTTCAGGATGTCCATCTCGCTGCCAGTGTCTAGGCTGCACTTCGGCGTTCCTGCTCCTCCACGGCAACCTCACCCCGCCAGGCGGGACGAACCTCTGCACAACCGGACCCCAAACATCAGAAGACAACAACTGCCGGAGCCGCTTCCGGCGGAAGTCCAGATGAAGGAGAGGACGGAAGGGAGAGGCCTCACCCTCCCAGCTAACGCCGGCGAAGCAGCTGAGTATTGTTGCCCCCTAGCGGCACCCTCCGGTTACTCACTTGTGATTTTGGTAGACGGGCAGAAAAGAACAAAAGCCAGGAGTCCATGTCGGTTTGTCTCCTTGTTAATGGTTATCGTGCTCATTTGAACCTGCTAGTTTGCCCCGCAAGCCTCCCTATAGGATATCTCAGTTGTGTAAGGCAAGATCTTTACTAGAAGTTTGCTTCATACTTTCTCACATTACTGGCTTGCCAAGAGGGTGAACATACAGAATGAGAAAAACATGAATAATACTAGTTTCAAAATGGCAGTGTTCATTAATTGTCTGTTGCAATGTCCTGTAAATTTATTCTACCTTCTACTTACGTATTCAACATTCAAGATGTTCTGTGATATATTGGAAATATAATCATTCTTTCTTAAAACCCAATCCAAGAAAAAAAATGTTGAAATTTTATTCTGGTTTGTTTTTATTTTGATTATGATGTAGCTCCTGATATCAAAGGAATCGTCCTGCCCCAACTTCAGAGTGCACCACTATACTTGGTAGAGTTTTTTTTAATCCTAGAGCCATGTATAATGTATTTATTTTTGGTTCCATGGCATGAAAGCATTTTTATTTTTAGTTATCATAATTCAACAATATTTTATGTTGACTTTTCTTATTCTAAAAAAAAGAAATACCATTCAAATTTGACTATAGGTAAGATGGTTTATCAAAAAAAACTGAAAGGATTGCTCATTTTCAAATTAGGAAGTTTTAATGTGTGTGTGTGTGTGTGTATGCGCGCGATAGGGTTATATTTGATCTAAAAGAGGGCCAGCAATATGGCTGAGCAGCTAAAGGTACCTGCTGCCAAGCCTGATGACCTGATTTCAGTCCCTGAAACCCACACAGTAGAAGGAAAGAGCTGACTCCCAAAGTTGTCCTCTGTCAACATTCATATCACAGCACACATTTGTGTATAAATACACAGGTGCATTCGAATGCTCAATAAATGAATAATTGTGATAATTTTTTAAAAAGTAAGAGATGCCTGACTTCTGCCGGGAACAAGCCAACATGGGAAGGTAAATTCATATTCCAATCTAAGACGCCTTGTGCTATGACAAGACACTTGGGGAACCTTAGTGGTTTCCATGGTAGGTGAGGGTGACCGAGGCAGGGGACAAACACGCCAGGCAGACAGAGCTTAGTGAGAAGTTTTATTAGAAAGGGAGAGGGAGCGAGAAAGAGAAAAGAGACACAGACAGAGGGAGGACAGATGAGAAGGGGGAGACAGGAAAGGTCCTGCCTGCCTCAGGGAACAGAGGGAAAGAGAGTGGGGAAAGAGAGATGGTAAGTGGTCTGTCTTTTAAAGGGGTCCTTTGCACCTGCGTGCAGACTTGTAGTCACGGAACCCTGGGATGACCAGGGTATTGCCTGAATACATTCTAACAGGTGATAGGGGCAGGCCAGAATAATGCCTGAATCTTTCCACTTTGTTGATTTTTAGAGGTTTAAAAACTCAAGGTATGTCACAAAATAAATGTCCTTGGATTAAACATTCTTGTATGAATATTTGTTGCCATGGGTCAAACCATTTACAGCATCCCTTTCATTTAGGAACTAGAGACTATAACCCCTAAGCCGGAAGTGTTGCCATAGCTGATACTAACAGTGTGAGAGTTCACAGATAACACAAACCTTCGCTGGCCGAATGGGACTCTAGTGGTATACTAGTAGCAAAAGTACTAGTAACAAAAGGTACTAGTTCCTTTTCAATTTCTAACTTTGGTTTTTATGTTTATGCAAACGTATATTAAATCATGATGAGGGTGTCAGATCATAGAATGAAAGCAGTGAGTTCTTGAAGGAGAAACCAATGGACAATTTAAACTACAGTGTAGAAGAAGGGAAAGATGTCCGGCAGCACTTAGAAGCACTACAAGAAAGGGATGTATCAATCCAGCTTGCTGGGAAATATGTGCAATATTCCACCAGAAATGGGATTTTAAAAGTGAGACATTAGCTAAAAATCAAAATTCCTAAATGGTTAATTATAGGGCATAGACACAAATGAATAATATGAAACTACATTTCAAAAAATAGTGAACGATAGCAATGCTCATAGTAGGTTTTCTTCTAAAAGTAGAATAATGAATGTGTAAGTATAGCCTATAAGACCAGCAAGATAGCCTACCAGGCTGCTGTGCTTGTGTACAGGCCTTCCAAACTGACTTCCCACAGGGTGATAGAGAATCAACTCTCAAGAGTCATGCTTTGACCTCAACACACACACACACACACACGCACGCACACACACACACCACCACCACCACCACCACCATGGCACACACTTGTCCCTTCACAAACAAATAAATAAATGTTAAAATGTAAGTAAATATAACAAATAATCTCCAATGTATAATAAAAACACAGAAACAAAAAAGTTATTAGGAGGAAATGTGCCACATGAAGTTGTTACATAGTAAACCCACTGGTAAGGATAAGCACCTTCTTTATGCCAGAATTTGGTACAAACTCCCTAATTTGGAAAAAATCCAGTTATCAGTCATATCCTCTTTGATTACTGACATTTTTAATAGCTTCCCTCTATCTTTCTACTTTTGAAATTAAAAATAAGTTTTAAGTAATCCCTATACAAGTCAGCAAGGGGGTTAGGGAAATAATATTTCAAAGTACTCATGGCCATTCCATTGAATCCTCCGGTGACTGATATGATCTCTCCACTCCTCTAAGTGCTAGAGCCCAAAACCAAGTCCCAAAGCATAGCTCCTACCCATGAAGAAGGACCAGTGAGCCTAGAAAGCACAGAGCAGGCCCTGGAAGCTTAGATAGTCAGGCTTTATAATTGTGTGGTGTGTGTGGGCCATAGTAGCCACAGAGTTTCAGAACATCCCTCTTGTGAAAGCTGAAGAAATATAAATCAATGCATGGTTGATGAGATTATTTTTGGGAGGTGTAATGCATCCTAAGAAATTATCTGCCAGCTCTGGAGACTAAAGGGAAATACCAAATTGTTATCAGGATGACCTAAATTTGTTTCGTTGTGATTCTAATGGATAAAACATGAATATTTAAAAAGAAGGGATAAATAATTATGCATAGTTGGTCTCAATCTTTAGCATGCCGCGTAATGACCTGTTGGGTGTTTGTAATTCTAAACTGCTGGTTTCCACACTCTAGAATTTCCAAGTGAGACAGGTGCTGCTAACCCACAGACCACACATTGATTACTGGTGGTCTGTTGTTTCAAAATCTCACATTTGCAAAAGGGAAATCAGAAACAAGGTCCGTGTCCTACCTTGATGGATAGAAGACAGGAGGAAGCACGTGTCTGTGTGTCTATGTACTTGCAACACTGTCATGGTCACCATGTTAGGGTCCTATCTCTCTCCAGTGCGATGTCCAATGATCCAATGGGAAATGGTCAGGCTCCTTTTGGGTCCAGTCGCATTTACATGGATGTTTTGTTAAATGTAACTATGGGCAGATACAAAATCCAATCCAGGGCAGAGACCCTTCTCCTTTCTTTAGGAAACAGAAACTAGTATTTCATCAATCTCTCTAGGGCTCAGGAAATAAATATGTGAGCTTGAGAATGATAGACATTTCAGTGGCATGCTAGAACCAGACTGGTTGATACTTATCCACAAGAGATTGTTAAATAATTGTGTGAACCAGTTGTTAAGCATAGCTCTCGTTAAAAATAAAGAAATTTATCTACAATTAAATATTATAAGTGCAAGTACACAGAACCTATTCCCTACCCACGATTTTTCTGATTGTGCTCTTGGGTTTATGACATCTGTACCTTTGAGGTGGAGATCTCTTACCAGCTCCTTGCTTGACGATGTCATATTAGTAGTTTGAAATCAGCCAAAGACTGAACCAGTTCTATGTTTTCCAGAAGAACAGACCCACCATGATATATATGGATAGATAGTATCTATTTTCTTCTAATCACAAGGAGGCCATAGCTCAATAAACCCACTGTATTAGTTGCTGTCCTTGTTCCTGCAACCAGTGACCTGACAAAGAACAATTTCTGGAAGGAAGATTTTATTTAGGCTTAGAATTTGAAGGGATACAGCTCACCATGGGCAGAAAGCATGGCAGCAAAAGCATGAAACAGCTGGTCATAGGGCATCTGCAGTTAGAAAGTAAAGAGAGGCAAGTGCCAGGGCTTCAGTCCCCCACTACACAGGATGGTACTCCCCACAGCCAGGCTACACCATACCTCTTCACTTAACCCTTTGTAGAAACAATCTGATGGATACACCCAGAGATGTGTTTCCATGGTGATTGTAAATCCGGTAAAGTTAAGGGTGAAGAGTAAGCATCATGATCATCAAGAATAGCATAATTTGAAAATCTTTTACACCTACCTCACAAACACCTGCTTAGCAATACACACACAGTAAGTACGCTGTAAAAAACTGATGGACCCTCGACTGATAGCTGGGAAACCAGCATAGGACTGTTCCAGACCCCTGAACGAGGATGTCAGTTTGAAGATCTGGTTAATTTATGGGGCCTCTGGTAGTGGATCAGTGTTTATCCCTAGTACACGAATGGGTTTTGGGAGCCCACTCCCCATAGAGGGATACTCTCTCAGTCTAGACACAAGAGGAAGGGTCTAGGCCCTGCTCCAAATGATATGACAGACTTTGGAAGATCCCCCATGGAATTTCTCACCCTCCCTGGGGAGCAGAAAGGGGATGGAATAGGGGTCTGTGGGGTGCAGGGGAGGAAGGAAGGGTAAGGGAACTGGGATTGACATGTAAAACAAGCTTGTTTCTAATTTAAAATTTAAAAAAGGGGGAGGGGGGAACCAGAATCTCAAGATAGTGTCTTACCAGGTATCATTAACCTGGGGAGAAGATCAAAATCCCAAATATAATTTCTACTGCTTTTGTGTAATGTCCAAAATGGTTAAGCCCAACCATCGAT